GAAAGAGAGAGACAGAGACAGAAAGCGAGAAATCACCCCCCAGGGGGGATGGCCACGCCGCAATCCCTTCTCCTCTTGGGATCTTGGGCACGCACGCACAAGTACCCGGTGTGAGTTTTAAGCCACCAGGTCCAGGATGCGAACCGCAGTCGACTACATGGGAGTCCAGAGACATAGCCACTACGCTAACTGCTGGTCCCCAGGATCCAAACACTTTAACCACCACTCCACCAGCTGGCTCCTCTCTAATCTGCTTTTTTATTTTCCTGGGGGGTGGGGGGGTTGTAGTTGTCATAGGGCACATGCACTTGTCAGAGAGAGGGAAAAGTGAGAAATCACCCCCCAGGAGGGGATGGCCACACTGCGGTCCCTCCACTTCATCCCCCTCTAGGGATCTTACACACTTGCCTGGCGTGATTTTCAAGCTGGCAGGTCTGGGACTCAAACAAGCCAGCCATGTGGGAGTCCAGCGTCCATGCCACTTGCTGGCCCCTCCAATACATTTTGAAAAACATTTACTTATCTATTTACTAGTGGTATTCAAGCCTCCGAGAATATCATAACCTGTTGGTTGTGACATCGCCACTGCTGGTCCCCGCTGATGTATTTTTAATTAATTTATAAAATGGATTTACATTAGCAGATTCAGAAACATGCCCATAATTACGATACTTTTGCCATTTCCAATTATTCCATAAAACCTTAAAGACAGTAAAAGCTATTCTATTATCTGTAGACCCCTTCTCTGCTCCTCCCTCCATTTCCCTTTCTCTCTCTGAATTAGAACCTTGTGGCTAGCCCCATGGCACAGTGGTTAAGCTTGCAGACAGCCAGATCCCATAGGGCGGACCAGGGTTTAAGTTCCCGCCCTGGCAGCTTGAAAAGCAGGTGCATGAATACCTGCCAAGGATCCTGACAGGATGGAAAACTGGAGGGAAGAGCACTGGGGCAGGATTTGTGCTACCCTTTCCCTTCCTCTTTCACTTCCTCCTGAGTGCACACTTGTTTTCTGACGTTAAAAAACAAAGCAAGCAAAATCCCCAAGAATTCTGCATATTATAGCAGGTATTTAAAAAAAAAAAACAAAACGAAGAATGATTATTTATGTCTCAGCCTGCCATGTATTCCCCATATGAACACCATACAATAGTCGTTCTCCTCAAATCTGTTTTTGTCTCTACAACGAGGGACCAACAGCCCTCCCGCACTAGAGCTGCTTTAGGGCTGCGATGGCATGAAGGCGTGTGCACCAAACTGGACTTGGGACCAGCAGTTTCTCAAGGAATAACAGCAATCAGTAGGTGACTGTGGGCAGAAGTGGGCTGTTCTCGAAAACCAGAGAAGTCAACAGGTCAAAGGAGAACAGCTGTTCTCGAAAACCAGAGAAGTCAACAGGCCAAAGGAGAACAAGGCTGAGGTAAGGAACTCAAAACTCACGATGGCTTGGTTGAACTTGGACTCGATCTCCCCAAGCAGCCAGTCAAAGGCCTCCCCACTGAGCCGGAACTCCTCGGCCATGCGGCGGGAGCACAGTGTGGACCGCAGGTGGATGTTGAAGAGCAGCGTGGCGTTCTCCTGCGCCTGTCGGCTTAGCGGGTCATCTCCATTCACAATCACCAGTTTCTTGCTCAGTTCCTTGACGCCTAGGGGCCAAATGAGGGTGAAGGGATCGTCAGTCTGGGGTCCCACAAACGTCTGTCCCCTAGCCTGCCCTGAGGACTCCGAGCAGGTACTCACCCTCTACCACTTTGATGGGATGCAAGTCAGAGGGAAGGCGCGGGTTGATATGGAAGATTTTCTGAGCATTCCAGATCATGCGCAGCAGGTTACAGGGGAGGACAACCTGAGGGAGGAGCGGAGGGAGGACTGAGCCAGGGGACAGCCATCCAGCAGCGGCACTTCTCCCGACTGGTGATCTCCGAGACTCACCTTGCTGTCGCCAGTTGGGAAGATGACCCGGAGCACCTCCCGATCCTCTCGCATCCGCTCGAATTCCCGCTCCAGCTCGTTCTGAATGTGCGCATTGCTCAGCACGTCCTTCACCAGGTCCTCCTGCAGGGTGCGCCGCAGGGCCCGCTCGTTGGTATAATCAAAACGGAACCTGCAGGTGGTAGAGGCCGGGCAGGTGGGCTCTGGGGCCTGATTCTACTGAGAGGCTCCCCAGGTGCACAGCCCACCAGGAACAGGGCTTCAGAGGGAAGATTTCCGGGCAGAGAAATACAAAATCTAGGCCCAAAGATCACCAAAAGGACCTGAGTGTGCACTCCTGGGTTTGCTTTGTGCTATCACCGGGTAGGAAACGAGGGGCGGATCTCAAATCTACCTCCATCTACACCCCCCTTCCATCACGAAGCATTTCAGATGGACGAGAAAAGGAGCCAGGTACAGTCCAGGGCACCTCTCTGGGGGCTGGGAATCCTACAAATCAGGCCCTGAGCCCAGGGGCAACAACCACCCGCTTGTCCACCTCCTCACTTCTTCTCAAAAGCCTTGTTAGAAGGTTTGAGAGTAGCCAGGTTCTGGAACTCCACGCTCTCGCCCGCCAGGCCGTCCTCGCCGTAGCGCAGCTGCACCACCTGGTTGATGGAGTTCCGCACCGTCGCGTCATACTTCACCATCACCGACTCCATAGACTTGATCAGCCGCCGCTGGATATACCCTGGGGGTGGCAACCCACGGTAAGACCCGTGGCCGGAGGAGGACGAAGTCCAAAGACCAAGCCTGGAGCCTTATTAACCCGACTTTCAGGAGAGCCAGCCAATAGTTCTCTCTGAGAGACATGTTCGCCACCAGGGTGGACGGAAGGGTCAGTGGAATGCCCTGGGAACCACCTGCCAGGTGACAGGCCAAAGCAGGGCCCCGCCGAGACTACCCCTGCATCATGGAATGCCGTAAAGCAGTCAAAACCGGGCACGAGCTTCTTTGCGCAAAGGCCAAGGTCATCGCTCTGGGAATAGAAGCCCCCGGCCTGAGAGTCCCCTCGCTCCACCCTCCAAGGGGTTCTCCTCCTGTGGGCGTGCACTGGCACCAGCCCATACAAGAGCCTTACCAGTCTCGGCAGTCTTGACAGCTGTGTCGATGAGCCCTTCGCGACCCCCCATGGCGTGGAAGAAGAACTCGGTGGGTGTGAGGCCGGCCAGGTAGGAGTTCTCCACAAAGCCACGGCTCTCAGGTCCATAGTCGTCCTTGATGAAGTGAGGCAGAGTTCGGTGCTTGAATCCAAACGGGATCCGCTTGCCTTCCACGTTCTGCTGCCCGACGACAGCAATGACCTGGGTAAAGGAGGGGAGAGTGTCTCTACTCCCCGTGCCTGAAGAATAAGTCCCCAGTATTTCCCCAACTCCTCCCACGTCCCCACCACCCCAGCACACACCGTGTCCTCCTCCACACTTAAATGTGGCCCCTACCTGGAAAGGCAAGGCTCCTCACCTGGGAGATATTGATCTTGGAACCCTTAGCTCCTGACACGACCATAGACTTGAAGTTGTTGTATTCTGACAAGGATTTCTGGGCAGAGGAGCCAGTCTTGTCTCGGGCATCATTGAGGATACGGTTCACCTGATTCTCAAAAGTCTGACGCAGAGTGTTCCCCGGGGTGGGCTCCAGCTCGTTGTTATGGGCCTTCTCGATGACCTGGAGGCGAGTGCTCAGTGACGCATCTGGCCCTGCCCAATTCTGCTCTCTCTGAGCCCCTCTACCACTGCTCTCGCTGAGGCTATGTTCAAAGTCCTGAGAGCCTCTTATTCGGTCCCTGCCCGGCTTTCCCTCTCACCTCAATTACATCCTGTTTGGCCTTCTTAATAGTGTTCTGGATGTCCTGGTAAGTCTTAGAATCCGCAATGGAGTCCCCGATGCCAATGGTATGACCTGGAGAAAAGAAGCAGCTTCAGCAACAAACACTTTCTCTGGATGCCTAAGAAACACGGGATGGAACTGGAGCCACGGGAATGGATGGAGAGAAACCAGACTGGAGGAGGAAAGAGAGTAAGCACAACCAGAAGCGAGAAGATTCCCAGAGGAGGATCCCCTTTGCTTACCCTCGATGAGGAGCCAGTTGTTAATGACAGTCTGAATGTTGGAGTAGAAGAGGCGAGTGATGTCATGACCCATCTCCAGGTAGGAAATGTGGACCAGGGAGCCGGCCGATGTGCCCAGGGACTTCTTACACAGGATGCCCATGATCAGCTCCCCATTCTCCACCACCACCTGTGTGGACAGAGAGCCCACTCCAGGCCCTGGTCTCGTTCTGGCCCCATGTCCAAATGCCCATGATCAGCTCCCCATTCTCCACCACCCCCTGTGTGGAGGGACAGAGAGCCCACTCCAGGCCCTGGTCTCGTTCTGGCCCCATGTCCAAATCCTATCCCCCACATCCAGAAGTCAGGGCCTACCTTGGTGTCCCCGGGAGAGATGTGCTTGTAAGGGCCACTGTCCTCATCATCGGGATGGGTGCTGTGGGTACGGATACAATTGATGTGGCCGGGTATGATGAGAGAGAAGATCTGCTTGCCTGTCCACAGGGGCCGGGGCTTCAGAATGGCTGGCTGTGGGACCTTCCCGTCCCAGGTGGACAGGAACATTAGGAGGTTCATCACTTCACCCTGTAAGACAACAGCAAGACAGACAGAGTCAGACTGGAGGACTCACATCCCAGATATGCCAGGGAGGCTTCCCAGTGCAAGGGCAAAAGCCAAATTTTGAAGGCAAAGAGAAAACAGAAAATGTTTTCTGAACTTTAATAAAAAGAACTCTTGGGCCAGCCAGTGCCAGTGATTGAGGTGGCCGGATGTCACGTGGCCGACTGTGCAGTCTTACACCTCCTGGCTTGAGAAACACGGCTGGCCTATGTCTGTGCATGCCCAAAATCCCAGGGAGAATACAGAAGGGACTGCAGCATGGTCATCCTCCCCAGAGGGGGTGCTTTTTTAGTTTACCGCTTTTTCTCTCTGGCAAATGCCTGTGCCTTTAAAAAAAATTTTTTAATTAAAAAAAAATATATATATATCACTGTGCGGGGACCAAACAGGGATGTGACGTCCAAACAAGGCTCTGTGCGGCTGACCCACATGGGACGTTCCAGGTTCGTATACAGAGACCTCCCTGACCCAGGGCTGGTTGAAGATGGAGGTGAACTGCAGGACTGGGACCCTGCTGAGTGTGCTGTCCTTTTTTTTTTTTTTTTTGGGGGGGGGGGCGAGGTTTTCGCTATAGGGTGCATGCGCTCACCAGAGAGAGACAGAGACAGAAAGCGAGAAATCACCCCCCAGGGGGGATGGTCACGCCGCAATCCCTTCTCCTCCATTTTCCTCTCGGGATCTTGGGCACGCACACACACGCGCCCGGCGTGAGTTTTAAGCCACCGGGGCCAGGACTCGAACTGCGGTTGACTACAAGGGAGTCCAGCGACATAGCCATTACACTAACTGCAGGTTCCCAGCTGTCCTTCTTTCTTTTCTCTTACTTGCTTATATTAGAGATAAAGAAAAACTTTAAAAAGTCACATGGTCCATGACCTTGGTTGGCTAGGAAGGCTACGGGGAGGACTGTGGCAGGAGACCCTACTGGGGAGGCTGGTTTCTCTCTTTCATGAAATAAACTTAAGAACATTTATGACCCAGCTGCAGTGGCACACAGGTAGTGCCACCTTGTGGAAGGCTAGAAGCCACACGGAAGGCCCAGGTTTGGTTCCCAGGCTCAGTTTCCTGCACCTGCGACCCTAACTAATTAGGAGGCTGGGGCAGGAAGATCACAACACAGTGAGACTTTATCAAGGACACTTATCTTTGTCCTTCTCACTCTCCTCCCCCAAATGGGAAATAAATAAAATCAATGTAATAGTGAGACTTTTAAAACATTTTTAGCAGTAAGTACTTATTTCTTTCTTTCTTTTTTTTAGAGGCTTTTGCCTTAGGGCGTTTGCACATGCTACCAGAGGAAGAGAGACAGGAAGTGAGAGGGAAAGTGAGAAATCACACACACCCCCACCCCAGAGGGGATGGCCACACCACAATCCCTTCTCCTCCATCCCATGCCCAGGATCTTGGGCATGTAAGCATACACACACGCCTGGCATGAGTCAAGTCACTGGGTCTGGGACTCAAACCATGGCGGATCATGTAGGAGCCCAGCGACGTAACTGCCATGCCATCTACTGGCCCCACTTACATATTTCTTTGAATAGTTAGGAAATAAGGCAAAAATAAATACGTAAGATTTTAACAAGTTTCTATTCGTCCCTTCACCTTCACAAACACCTGGAACTACATGAATGTTAAGGAGTTAAACAGGAGCTAAGTCACACACATTCTTTGGCCTCTGCTCTTTCTTTAAAAATAAAAAATTTACTTATTATGATGATTATTTTAATTTAACCAGGAAGAGACACAGACAAACAAAACGAGAAAGCAAGTGGCCTGGCCCAGGACTCAAACCTCAGCCACGTGGGAATCCAGCACCTTACCCACCATGCCACCTGCTGGCCCCTGGCCTCCGACCTTTACTAACCCCTTTCTTCTCTCCCCACCATAAAAGACAGTCTGACGTGCAGACCAGTGTGGAACACACTAGGAAAAAACAACCTGGTTCTTCCTCCCTAGCCTCGATCTCACTGCCTGAAGCCTATCTGCCTAAGCCGTTTCCATGAGATCACGCACCCGCTCCAGGAAGACGTCTCTCTTGGTGAATTTGCGCACTGCCGTGAGCGTGTCCTGCACAATACCCATGACAGGTCGGTTGCTCTGGGGGGTGACAATCATGCGAGGCACCATGGCCAACTCTTGGATCTCTGCCCGTGTCTCCAGGGACTGTGGCAGGTGCAAGTTCATCTCATCCCCATCGAAGTCTGCATTGTACGGAGTCGTCACGCTGCAGTGAGGGAGGGGAACCAGAGCATGGAACGTGTCTGCAGTGACGCCTCAAGGAACAACCCACAGCTGCCATGGCCCTCCCAGGAGAGGGGCTGTCAGAGCCCACAGGCGGCCCCGTTTCCCTCCACACCAGGCTTTCCTCAGGAAGGAGACTGACCTAAGATTCAAACGAAAAGTGGACCAGGGGAGGATGCGGACCCGATGCCCCATCATGGACATTTTGTGCAACGTTGGCTGCCGGTTAAAGATAACGATGTCTCCGTCGCACATGTGCCGTTCAACCTAGGAAGTGAGCCAGAGGTCTCCGGTAAGGAGGTGCACTAAGAATGAGTGACAACGAGCCTTCAGCTCACAGACTGCACAGATAATACTGTGGGACACTCATCATATGCCTCTGTCGGGCCAAGCCTTGGGCCAGACACCAAGTAATAAGGGATGAATAAAACGTGATAACCACCCAGGGATCCCTTTCTGCCACATATAAACCGCCCTTGGGATATACAACCCCACCCTGACTGCTTGTGGCTGGCAGCGATGAGCACACCCAGAGGGCAGCAGTCTTTAAAACAGCCAGCAGGTCAGGGTCCTTGTGCACAGGGCGGCTCAGAGTGCCCACCCGCTTGCCCGCTTCCTGCTCACGCAGCTGAGACCCTGGCCTGTTACGTGCCTTATAGCCAGTCTGCAGGTGCAGGTCGCTGGGTTTGGGGTGGAAACGCAGATCAATGCGATCGCCGTTGTCCCGGATGATGTACTTGGCCCCTGGGTACTGGCTATTTCCCCTGCGCACCAGTTCTTGCAGCCTAGGAGGGAAAGAAGGGCAATGAGCACATTGTTTCCCCAAAAGCTCGTGCCACCACCCTCATCCCAAAGCCCCACGCAGAAGTCAAACTTCAGAACGTCAACACTGCTCCCCACGCACAGCAAGCTTGCTACCCCAGATGGGGGGAGCGCACCTCTCTCAGCCTCATCACTGAAGCACATCGACCCACACCACTCCAGGAACAGCTTCCAAACCAAGGCACACCTGTCAATGTTGAAGGGGGTGACGATCTCTGCAAAGGTCATGTTGGCAGCGATGGAGCGGGGCACGCCAACCTGGTCGATGGACAAGTTGGGGTCGGGGGTGATGACGGTACGGGCTGAGAAGTCCACACGTTTGCCCATCAGGTTCCCTCGTACTCGGCCTTCCTTGCCCTTCAGCCGCTGCTTCAGGGACTTGAGGGGACGTCCAGACTTCTGCATAGCCTGTGACAAAACAGGGTGGGGCAGCCCAGCAGTCAGCACTGCGCGCCCTCCAGAGCCGAAGCCTTGTGCTGGCCCCCAACCCCAGCTCCAGTCCACAGGGCCAGGGAGCATGCAGACTCACACGGGGCAAGCCGGGCAGCTCGTTGTCCACCATAGTGGCCACATGGAACTGGAGCAGCTTCACGTCCTCTGCAATGACATGGGCCGCTGCACCATTCTGCTCATTTCGCCGTAGCTGATTATTGATCTTCACGATGTCGGCCAGCTTGTGAGTCAGATCGTCCTGCAGAAAGAGTCAGCGCCATCACGGTCCAGTCACCGTGCTGAGCACTTGGCACGCGTGTGCCAGGAACACGGCATGCTCTTGTCCTCATACCACCCTGGGAGGCAGGCCTGCTCACTCTCATTTTACGGATACAGAAACACTTTCCAGACCGTTTACCACATGAAGGGCCTCGTTAAAGGTCACACTGCAGGGAGGTGGCAGGGTGTTTTTGAGCCCAGATCAGCCTGTCCCCCTTGCGCTTGCCACTCCCCCACAGGCTGCCTCCTCTGAAACTGCGCCGCAGCTGAGACAGTCCCGGAGCTGCTGACCTGGTTGCGGGCAGAGCCCTGCATCACAACAGCAGGCCGCACGGAGAGCGGGGGCACCGGCAGCACCGTGACGATCATCCACTCGGGCCGAGCGTAGCGGGGCTCCATGCCCAGCACGAAGCACTCCTCATCGGAGATGCGTTTAAAGATCTCGTGCACTCGCTCTGGACTCAGCAGGATCTTCTTCTCCTGAGAGTCCTCGTTCACATGCTTCCACTCCGCATACAGCTCCAAGCCGGAGCGCCGGATCCGGGGCTGGTACCGTCCACAGCCGCCATGGCCCTTCCAAAAAGAGAGGGGCCGTCAGAGCCCAGAGACGGCCCACGCGCCTCCACACCAGTCCAGCCCCTCCTGCTCCTGTGTCCTCCCAACGTGTTTCTTCCACAGCCTCCTCTCGTCCTCCCCTCAGGCCTCTGTGGCCACCTCCTGACCCCTTCCCTGCCAAACAGTCTCTGCCAGCCCCGGCCACCTTTTCTTTGGTCAGATCCTCGTCGCCCTCGGGCTGCTCGACACCGAACTTGTTGTCCATCTCCTCCCCGCCCTCGCAGATGTTCTTGCCCTTGCAGAGGTCGTAGACATGTGTGAGCCGCTTCTTAGGCTGTCCCTTAGACTTGGCCAGGATGTCCTTGATCTTCGGGTTGTTCTGGAGACAGGGCACAGCAGGGTGGGGTCAGCTGGAACTGTTCTGCTGCCCCTCACCACGCAGCCCTCCTTCCAGGCCAGGGCCCGTTCCCCACTCACAGAGTCCACAAGCAGTTTGGAGCAGAAGAAGCAGACACAGCGTAAAACTTTCATGGTCTTCACCAGGAAGCCCACATGAAACACAGGCTTGGCCAGCTCGATGTGGCCGAAGTGGCCAGGGCACTCTGTCATGTTTCCTGTAGGGACACACACCTGACACGTTCCTCCCAGCTCCCACTTACCTCAGACTAGGTCTCTGGTGTTTACCCTCAGCCTGGTTTTCTTCCCAGACCCAGCCTCCCTCCCTTGGGGATCTCACCAGCCCATGGCACTTACCTGCACATGTCTGGCAGCGACCCGTCCGCTCAATCACCCCTTGCCGGGGATCCATCAGCCCCCCAAGCTTGGGGCGGCCTCCCTCAGTTGTCTCTGGGTATTTGATACCGCCTTCCGTCACGGACATTCGCTTCTGCAGAAAAGAACGGCCAATAATAGCTATTAGTAAGTAGGATTTCTACTTTGCCATTTTAGTGGCTGTGAAGCCCTATACTCAGGTCTGATAAAAAAAAAGAAAGAAAGAAAATGAAAACATTCACAGACCAAGTTTAGCCAAGGGTGAGAGGAATGGGCCGTGTGGGTTTACCTCTGGGAATGCCAATGCCGTACCAGCCCCTGGGGGTAGGCTACAAAGGGCTCGTACTGGACGGTGGCTGACCCTGTGCTCCACATAATCATCTGCCTCTAGGACTCAGATCCCAGGGGTCTCTGGGCTGAATTCTAGGTCACTGATACCAACAGGATTTAACTACAAAAAAATAAGAAGTTGTTTCAAAGTGGGCATGGTGGGACTAGTGCCGTATTTCCTCCTCCACACTGAAATCAAGCCCATGAATCGGAGACCCCGGCAGGAACTTCTCTGTACCTGCACCCCTGCAATAACAAGTGTCCTGTCCCAAGAAATGCCCCACCAACCCTAACTTCAGCTCTTGATAAGGAGGGACAAGAAGCAGTCTTGTTCTTTTACCTCCATCTGTGTCACTCCTTCCTTCTCAAGGGATTAGGTAAAGATGCCTAGACCTTCCTGTAAGACTGAGTGCTAGGAGGACAGGTGGAGGAACTGCGGCAGAGCAGGATGGGTGGCTGGAATCCAGAGACCGATGGCGCTGGGAATCGATGGGGCCAATCCAGGAAGGAATGCAGGAAGACATAACTCAGGTGTGGGGCGGGCAGTGAGCTAAGCCAGTGAGCGCCACCGGGCAAACTTTAGCCTAAGCCCAGGATGTAACAGCTGCTTAATAAATAACCCCTGGGGCCCGCAGGGGGCATGGTGGTTAAGGCACTGGACTCTCACATACCCAACAGCGGTTTCAGTCCTGGACCTGGTGGCTTGCTTTCTCATTCTCACTCTCTCCTTTGCCCTCTCTCTGGTCAAACCAAATAATTATAGTTAAATAAATAATTATTTTTTTAAAATAATAAATTACCCCTAATTGTTAGCCACTCACTCACCAGGTACTAGTCTTTTCTTTTCTTCTTTTAGTGCCAGAGAATACGTGCACTCACTGGTGAGAGGGAAAGGAAGGAAGCACCCCAGTGGAGTGTGGGTACAGCACGATTTCTTTTCTTCCATTTCTCTACCTAGTTTGGATTCTGGACATGCTCATACACCCTCAACTTCTTTATTTTTTAAAATTACTTTATTTTATTTATTATTATTATTATTATTTTTAATTTGCCCAGAGAGAAAGAAAGGGAAAATGAGAAAGCAAGCTGCCAGGTCCAGGAATCAAACCACGATCAGCCATGTGGGAGTCAGTGCCTTAACCACCACGCCACCTGCCAGTCCCTACTACGGCTTATTATTTTTTTCTCCAAGTTTTTTTTGTTCCCCCTAATGGGCATGTGTGATCACTGAAGAAACAGAGAGACGGAGAGGAGGAAAGTGAGAAATTATCCCCTAGGAGGGATGGCCACTCCGCAATCCCTTCTCCTCCATTTTCCCCTTGGGATTTTGGGCATGCATGCACACGCGACTAGCATGAGTATCAAGCCACCAGGTCCAGGACTGGAAACACGGTCGGCCACGTGGGAGTCCGAGTCCAGTGCCACGACCACTATACCACCTGCTGGCCCCTTCCTGCCTTGTTTTTAAAGCCACTGGGCCAGGACTTGAATAGCGGTCAGCTACGTGAGATCCAGCTCCTTTAACTGCTACCCAGAGGGGCTGGCACAGTATTCGTTTTTGTTTTGCTATAGGGCACTCATGCTCACCAGAGAGATGGGGGTTGGGCTGGGGTGGGGTGAGAAATCACTCCCCCCAGGGGGATTGCTACACCACAATCCCTTCTCCTCCAGTCTCGTTGGGATTTGGGGCTACCACGCACACATGCCCCACGTGATCTTCAATGTCCAGATCTGGGGCTTGAACCACGCCATCAGCCATGTGGGATCCAGTGCCTTAACCTCCACACCACTGTTTGGCCCGGTCTTTTTACCTCCTAAATATTTCTTCAACCATGCCCCTGTTCTCCAACCCTACCACTACTGTTCCCATTGTCTTTGAAATGACATCCAAACTCAGCAGGACAGCTTACAAAAAGGGCTTTATGGCCTTCCACCCTCACTCCCCACACCGTTCCCACCTACGACTCCTCGCAAACTGAATCGCTGTGGTCCCCCAAGCCCAGCACAACACGTGCCGCCCTCCTGAGGCTTCCTTTACACATGCTAGAGTCTCTTTCTGTGCACAGTACCCCTCCCCACTAGGCACGCTCCTATTTCAAGACTTGGCTGGGAACCAGCAGTTAGCGTAATGGCTATGTCACTGGACTCCCATGTAGTCGACCGCGGTTCGCGTCCCGGACCCGGTGGCTTAAAACTTACGCCGGGCATGTGTGCGTGTGTACCCAAGATCCCGAGAGGAGAATGGAGGAGAAGGAATTGCGGCGTGACCATCCCCCTGGGGGGTGATTTCTTGCTTTCTGTCTCTATGTCTATCTCTGTCTGTCTGGGGAGCGCATGCACCCTATAGCAAAAACCTCTCCAAAAAAAAAAAAGACTTGGCTCAGGCACTACTTCCTCCAGGAAGCCTTTCCACAGCTTCCTGAAGGTAGACAGGGGCCCCTCTTCTGCACTTCCACAGACCCCATCACTGTATATCCTATAACTCAATGAAATGGCCTATTGGGGTCTGTCTTCCCTACAAGCTACCAGCATCCCTGAGTCCCCCTGAGTCCTGTGTGCTTGCCTGAGGCAGCTGGATTCCCACATGGCCAACTGTGCAGTTCAAGTCCTGGATCTGGCAGCTTGAAACAGGCCTTGGAGGCCAGCAGGTGGTGTGGTGATTAAGGGTGCTGGACTCCCACAGGGCAAACCATGGTTTGAGTCCTGGACCTGGCCGTCTGGTTTCTCATTTTCCCTCTCTCTTTCTCTCTCACTCTGTCTCTCAATCAATCAAGTTAAAATAATAAAAATAATTCTTAAAAAAAAAAAGAGGG